CTAAATCCAAAATTTTGGCCCAATAATTTGTTTCATTTCTAATTTTTTAATTTTTAACCCAATTACCCATTTTATTGTTTCATTTCTTAGCTCAACAAGATCGAATCCACTAAATAATCATAAACACATACACTAAAGTGTATAACGTTGTCTCGACTCTCGCACTCACTCTCGCAATCTCGCTAACATTCCAAAACCTATACAATCGTCTGTCGACACTGTGACCTTCAATCTAAACTATGACATCCGCTGATCGAAATTTTGACCGTAGCGATTATTTGAATAAGGTAGTCTACTAGTCTTTGATATTCCAAAACCATTGAATGTATCATTAGTTGTATTTATATAATATTGTTATAAATGTTAAAAAATTTAATTATAGTATCGAACTGAACCGAACCCAAACTGTTCCATAATTATATTCGGACCCGACGATTCCATTTATTAGATACCCGAAAATTTTGGGAGAGAACCGAAACGACTCGCACCCACCCCTACTTTGATGCACTCGTGGCAAAAAAATGGACCCTCTTCACTAACTCCACCTATCTGGTTTTTACATTTTCTCTCTAATGGGAGTATGTGACACGCGGAGATGGTGATGTAATTCTGCATACACACAGTTGGCTGTATTTAGGGGCCGTTTGAGTCCCATTATTTGTAGATTATAATGAAATGAGTAGTATTTTTTTGAAAAATGAGTGGTTAAAAAGTTTTTGATTTACGTGTAATATTATTTTATTGAAGATTGTGTAGTTAAAAATAGGAGAGAGAAAATTTTAATTTAATGTAATGAGAAATAATGGGGCTCAAACGGGGGCTTATTATGTGAGTTAGTCTACATGTACAGAAACTTAAGTGTACACATGTTGTACAAAATACACACATCAAGGGGATAGGTGGTTTTTTTGGCAATAAAATATTCATGTGGGGTCCACCGTTTGTGAGACTCTGTACACATTCTGTAAACTTAAAATTCTGTAAACTCAAAATTTTTGTTATTATGTATCTATAATATGATAGAGTGCTATTTTGTACTTGAGAGTTCACCAAACAAGGGCTTTGCTACAAACAGTTGACATCAAAAAATGTGTCAACAAGTGTCGAGTTTCGTTGGAGTGCATGTAAGCAAATCTTAACACGATCACAAGTGATGAATAGATAATAACCCAAGACGAATATAAGAGAGATTTACATCATTAATCGAATGCATAAAGACTCCGACATTCACCTCATGAAATTATAATATTACAGTCGCTAATTATAGATGAATCGATAGGACATAAATGGCGTGAGTGTAACTTTGTAAATGTTGGTTTTACAATAATGAAGAACAAGTGTTTTGTAGTATCAAGAGCTGCATTACCCTCCACTTTTCGTTTTACTTCTTTATTAGCACCAGGTTGGAGATCCATTTCGGGTATACGACCTATCAGATAAAGCCATTTTTTTATTAATTATTGCACTTCTTCCTTCAGGGTCCCATACATTTCCAAATTGAGAGCTCTTCTTTTTTATCTATGCGGGGCAACGTTGAAATCAATTTTTAAGTGATGACAGCTAACCTTGGAATCAATACCTACCATATCTTCGTGCTTCCATGCAAAGACGTCAAGGTTTCTACGTAAGAAATCCTTGAGCTTCTCTTTGACTTCCGGGGACAGGCCCTTTTCCACCTGCAATACCTTTGCAAGATCCAAAGGATCTACGAGCATGGTTCCTTGGTAACTTTAGTTTGATCGAGGAAACCACAGAAAATGAATCTGAAGCTTTCCAACTCCTCCCCACAGGGACCGTTTGGAGCTTGGATTCAATCCAACGAGGGTCTAGTTCATCAAGAATGACCACCTCCTCAAGGACGTCCAGCATCTCGATGTCCTGTTACCCAAAGCCTTGCTCGTCGGGGACGTCTATCATCTCTGATATTGACCAAATGTAACGTGACAATGTGGAAGCCCCATATGTATGCACCTGAATTAAAAATAAAGAAAGAGTTACGGAAGTGCTTTATTGCCAACCGAGGTCATACTACCGAAGTTCTCCGAAGTGGTATCAGTCTTTGTTCATCCGAGGTGGGATTACTCATTTCTACCAAACCCCTTGATATCCAAAGTCCATAATGCCCAGAAGAAGGTCGGATAGGCATATCAAGGAATCAAGTGAATGATAATGATGATTCAGACGGACCCCAAAGATCGTATGACCTAGATGATGACGACGAAAATCTACCTTTTTCACAGGAACTAAGAAGGACCCCTATGCCAAGCTACTATGTGATGCCAAACATATTGAAGTATGATAGGAGAGGCAACCCGACAAAGCATTTGAACAGCTACAAAACTCATATGAGCTTACGAGGCACCTTTCCAACTATAAATTGTAGAGCTTTCCACTTGATCCTGAGTAGAGCAGCAGAGATTTGGTACAACTGGTTGCCACCTGGGAGCATTAGGAGTTGGCTTGAGTTTAAAACCATGTTCTTAAAAAGGTTTGTAGTAAACAAGGAAGGAGAGGCTCCAATTCAATGCCTCCAAGACATGAGGCAGCAGCCTGGGGAAACTTTGAAGAGCTTTTTACCTCAGTTTGCTGATGAAATGATGTATTGTGTACAATTAACAGATTGCGAGGCCTTATCGACATTGCGTGAGGCTTGAACATGAACACCCTAATTTGAAAGAAATATGCAAAATCAAGACCCACCACGAATGACGCATTGTTGGAAATGATGAGGCACGAAATCATCAACGAAGAGCTAATTAACCACAAAAATAGGGCCAGTAGAGGTTGTCTACCCCCACAAAGGCAGCGTAGGAGAAGATCTACCTCTCACCTGATGGATCACCAATGGAATCAGGTTGGCAATGAAATGGCCCCCAGCTCGAAAAAGGCCCTTGCAACTGCCACTCTAAATGCAGTACCCACATTAGCTTACGAGGATGTTGCACCAATAAATGAGACACAACAAATCGAAGTGAGGCAACAGGCCTCCTGTAGGAGAAAAGACCGAAGGTGTGGTTCGAGACCTAGAAATAGGCCAGACCCCCTCGAATATTGTTCGTAACATCACTCTCACAGCAACAACACGATAAATTGTAGAGACATCGCTCAACAACCCAGGCAAACGAGTCCCCAAAAGGCACGAAGACATGATTCCCTCGAAGGGAATAGGCCCCCATGAAGACAAGACTAGCCTTCCAGGTGTGAGGAGGCCACACCTCGCTCCGCTTCCCAGAGCCACCAATGATATCCCCTGACGACAACAAAAGCATGAACGTGAGAGGTCGAGAGAGCAACGGCCACGTAGGGGATACCAAGTAACCCGGAGGATGCCCCGATCCACAAAATTGACACAATTTTCGAAAGCCTCAACATTAGGGAAGAAACGAGCAATGCGCAGGGAACTACGCCAAGGAAGCTAAATGCGCCCCACTAACTAGCTACATAGTTGATGGCAGTTCCCAAAAAGCTAAGTACCACTAATTGTATTCCCAGGAAGATGTAGAAGGCGTCAACTTTTTGCATTGTGACGCCTTAGTTATAAGGGATGTAGTGGGCCAAAACACATGTCAGTGGATAATAGCAGCTTTGTCAACATTCTCTTCGAAGCTACATTTGATAAAATGAATGTGGATCATGAACTCATTCCCGTCACCACCCCCTATATGGCTTCACCAGAAACAGCATCATCACTAAGGGAAAAATAACAATTGCGATCGAGATGGGAGAATCACCTCAAACAAGCTTAACCTTTATGGAATTCTTGATAGTGGATAGCAGGTCAACCTATCATAGAGTCTTGGGTAGGTTAGTCCTGAAGGACCCCTTGTCAACACGAATTTCCTATCAATGACAGAACTTTTGGTTGGTTAAAAATTATTCAAAGCATGAACAAAAAATGTGCCATTGTTGTCTCTAATAGTTATGCTGAGTCCCACTAAGTCATTGACTAGATCATCAAAATTTTAAGTAGATTCGACATCGATTACAAGTTCCAACACAAGTCATAAACAATGTGTAATGATCATATTTCCAAACAACGTTGAGAAGACAACGATATCTAAGCATCGTACATACTAGACCATTGAAATATATTTACAAGACATTGTCGAAATGTACTATGCAACAATCTTCATAATCACAAACATCTACTATGTCTATTTTGACAATCTACTAATAAAATTTTAACTCATTTATATTCCTCAATAAAGTCAACTACTATTAAAACTTGCCTACTAAACATTACCGAAATAAAACAAGTAGACTTGTGGCACACGTGTTAAGTATAAGTTTATAAGAGATTACTTGAACTTAATTTTATATATATAGTTAAAAATAAGTTTGTGAAGAAATAGTTTTTAAATAAACTATGATGCCAAATTGATTACAATAATAATTTGAAGTTTTAATCGAATTGGACATGGAGTAAAATGTTTGGATGGTAGTTGAAATATCAAAAATCATGGAGTATGCACATTTACAATGTAAAAAGTCGTTAGTAAGCAATATATAATCAATCATTAGACATTTTCTGATATTGCACATTTTATGTCCAATTGTCCTCCATTCATGGTACCACTGACACCTATGCATTAATCTCAGCCTTGTTTGGAAGAGATTTTTCTTCAAAAATCATTTTCAATCACACATTTCAAGACAAGTGCAAAATGATGCATCATGCAGGAGGACCGAGTAAAGCTCTAACTATTGTTCTGTTCCCTACTTTAGTCGCTGAAATAATCATGTACATAATACACGATCAGCCATTAGATGTCGAGCTCCTGCTGAGAGAAAATAAATAAATAAATAAATAAATAAATAAATATATATATATATATATATATATATA